CGGAATATTCTTGAATAGTAACCTTCTGCCGTGTGGTATCTTCTTCAATCTTTCGCTCCAGAATTTATATTTAGTCCTGGTATTGGTCATGATATTTTTTTGCGTCATCCTCCATCTTGCGCTCCAGAATTTATATTTGGTCCTGCTACCATTGACGTTGATTATGATATATTTTCTCGCTGTCCTCTATCTTACTTTCCAGAATTGATATTTTATCCTTGTATTCCTAGTTTTAATCTTAGTATTTTACAACTTCGGCAAGATTTTTTTACAGACGTTTTATTTCGACTTAGGGGGTTGCATTTTCTTCAGCAGCAGCTCGGTTCTGTTTGATCAAAAGCTCATTCTTCTCCTATGACTCCAGTAGCTGGCCACTCAACTTTTTTTGTTGCAATTGCAGCTCATTTAACCGTTCTTAGAGTTTCTATCCTTCACTCTATGCGTCTTAAAGTGCGATACCTGCACGTTTTTCCTATCGTTCCATGAAAAACTTTTGATCTTCTAGGTCTTTGATAATTTACTTCAATTTCCAAACTTCATCTTCTTTCTGATTATTCATATCAGTTAATTTCTTATCGAATAGATCTTTTGATGATCTTAAATTTTCTGTCAGAACACCATTTTAAAACTTTTACTCATCTAGTTCGTGTTCTATTTATTCCAGAGCTCTGAGCAAGTTTTCCATTTATCCCATTTGTATCAATCTTCTCTCTCTTTCCGCTTTCAAGGTCGTCATTTGCCTATTCACAACCAACTCGTTGATTACTTTGCGATAGTGCAAAGCGTTCTCGAGTTCCACTATTTTTTGAGCTTGGGCCGCATTCGTTGAATCATTTTGCATTATTTTCTAATTCTATCGCAACCTCTGCTACTCACTATTGGCAGCTCGAAGATCAGTTTCTAAATCACTGATAAGCTAAAAAGTTTTTCCTAGCTTTTCCTGCTTTTCCCTATTTGATTACAACAACATTTGGATCATTTCGTCTTGATACAGAACAATTTTCTTGTGATGTTTCTCTTGCTCCTGCAGCCTACGCCGGTAGCTATAATCCAGATGTTCCGCAACCCATCTCTTCTTCTCCAGTTCACCTTTTCCTTCTTAATCCGATGGTTTGATTACATGGCGACAATTTTCCCTCTACAATTTAGCGTTCTCTTCCAAGTAATTTTGCTGCTTAAGCAGCAACGCAGCCGTTGATTCTCCACTATTTTTCCTCGGGATTTTTGCATGGCATTAACAATCTCGGAATGGCACATTGCCCGCCTGATTGCACTTGCAGTTTCCTTACTTCGATGCTTCATTTTTACTGCAGGTACAACTCACTCTTACTTTAACTCTCTGACACCCACACTGGTCGGGACACTCAAATTTGTAATCTCGACTTGGAGAACAAAATTAAGCTTGATCTCCGCAGCAAGCATTGCCGTTCGAGAGCTTCAAATCTTGACCTCGTCTAGTAGGGTTTCTGACGCAGTGATGCTGGCACAAGAGAATATCTCCTTCACAACACTCCCGGTCATCTCTGCAGCAGTCCATTGCTGGACACGTATCAATGCTGGGGCAATAGAAGAATAACCACGGATTGCGAACTATTTCGAATTTTATCAAGAAGGCGTAAAGTTATTCGATCTTCAAGTTTTCAAATTTTCAAATCTGAGGAAAATCGAAATACGCGCATTTAAATACTGCATCGTAACCAGAAGGCTTTCTCGTATCATAGTTACTTGCGCGAGTTACACCCATGCCCTGAATTTCATGTCAATTTCAGTTTAAAAGGAGAGTTGACAGTTCCATGAGAAATACCAAATTAAATGTTTTCTCGAGATATGTGCAAATTCAAATAGTCTTCATTTCATAACCCCAAAATATGTTCAGCCAATATTCATTAAAGAGATAAAATGTATTCAACAGAGTTAAAGTTAGTTTCAACTTCAAATTTGACATAATATTGCTTCATGATTTGATCGACATTGCTCATTACGATTTTGGAAAATTTGGTCATTCATAGATTCTCCTATAATATTCATTAATTCTCACATAAAACATGATCCTATTCTGAAATTCACTTTTGAAACAAATCTTAAATTTATCCGTTCAGCAGCATGGTTATCATTAGGAATCTTGGAAATTCTTGTCAGTTGATACATTCGTGATCGCTGATTCTCAAGTTATAATATTTCAGGCATATAAATAAATAAATTTATGAGTCTGAAATTTCAAAATTTCAATCTTAATGCTTGCAACACTTTCATTTACTTGATGATAAATAATGTATATTCGTAACGTAGCTATAAATGTCAACTGGGAACCTTCTTTTCTATCTGTCCACGCCTGCAGCATAGCAAGACATTGCGCAAGCAAAATATTAATAAAAAGCATTTATAATCGAACTTTATGAACAACTTTTTCGGACTATACGAAGATGAACGAATAAATGCCTTCTGCATTATTTTTGGTCTAGGACAATAATATGATTCGAAACCAAATTAACTATTTAGTTCTTTGTGATGAAGTGCGCCAAGCCTATTGACGTATCGCGAATAAAGAGCACTACGCCAAAATTAAAAATCCATCAAGTTCCCAGAAACTGAGTTTCAGTTACATTACAACAAATGCGTTGAGCTCTGAAAGTTGAGCTGATACGTGCAAAGTCCTTTGATTGGCTGTTTTTTTAAGAAAAAGGTTCATGCAGAATTAAAAAATTATGGGCAGTAATTGCTACTGCGGGCTGGTCTACGTGTTCGTGGGAGTAGCCATGATAGCGACATTTTTTCTATGCGACACCATCTTGAAAGAAATATCCGATAAAAAACTGAACGAACTCTATGACTCAGTTAACACAAGAAACGCCAAATCAATTCTCGATTTGTCATCTTACCTAGGATATCTGAACGGAGTAGAAGCAGTTGTGATTATTATTATTATTAGCTGTGACCCTTCATTTCTTTACGTTGGTTGAACCGGTTGTCCTCAACATCACCCAGAGACCTGACATCCAGAAAATGCCAGTTGAACGATAAGATACAAAAAACTGCGTGCAAGATTCGACTGGGTCCTTAAAGTTTCCTCTACGTCGCCTGTGGGATTTAACCTACAATTTCAAAATACCAAAATAATTGTACAGAAGTAATAAAACTTGACAGCCGAGTATACGAACGTGGACATAATAAAATGGCTAGTGAAATCCTAAATTGATGACGCCATTACTTCTTTCATCGCGGAAAACTAGCTAACTGAAGTATTGGACAAGAAGGCACGTAATGATCTAACGATGCTCCATTTCAAACCGTCGAATAACGCTCTGTTAATTCGGCCCATGGTCGCTGTAGTAAAGCATGGAATCACTCAGAGAAATCGTCTAAGACGCTGACTTGGATATCGAGACCTAGAAAAGCATCGCACAAATACAAGAGTTTGTTTAAATACAAATCAACTACATGTAGACTATGGCGAGAAAGTTGTTACATCGCACGAACTATATGCCTTCATAAATGACCTCCCGCACATTCGCTTGCCCATAATGTGTTCAACTCCAGACGAATATTTCTTGCCAGGATTGAGCAGCCTCAAGTTCATCAGAAGAGAAGCATCTGTGGATGCAGTCTTTTCGAGAACTAAAACTTATGTAAACTAAAGATTCTGGTGGCTTGAGCTTGCACGGGAAAATGAGTGGATTAGCGTTCTTGAGGAATATTTACAAAAATATCATCTATACGTCACAGAGCCTCTAATTGATAAACAGTGCACTGAAATTGATTAGAAAATTTCGAAATGCGTTGCCATGTACCAAGCATTAGCGAAAGATGGATAACCAAGAAAAAACGTGAAACCAAAGAAAAATTACCCGGCATGTCAACGTTTTTGAATGAAGACTAGATGAATTTGACGACCTAATAAATTTAGATTTAAACAAGTACTACAAATGGCTCGGCTATCAGCAATGGAGGTAATATTAGTGGGACAAATTTGATTTCTAACACAAGTTCAGATAACAAAATTAAAAAGGACTTCTCTAGCCTGCACGATCTCAACGATAGAAACTCATCTACAGCCCTGACCACTGAGCGCGACAAGTAACCTGTGTCTACCAATCCGGATTTAAAATTTCGAAAGCCTTGCCTCTAATTGCCAAAATCCAACCCGAATAGACTAGATGTTTTCGTACCTCTCAACGTTCCCGTCAATGGATCAATTGCACTGCAAGTTAACTTGCAAGTGCCTGATGAGGAGTAGTACGAAGAGCTGCGTGGCCGCGGTTTACCTCTTCTTTGGATTAATGTGACAGTGTCACGCCTGCCTGACAGACTTTCTTTCATTTTAGAGCAAGTTATATCAATGAGAGATAGTTTCATAATTAGCTTCCTGATTGTCGGTCTACTCTTCTTGAGCGCGGGGCTTGCTCTACTCATCTGTTGACACTCTAGGAGGAATAAAATACTTAAAAAAACTTAAAAAAACACGTTTTTCTTGTGGACTAAAAAGTAGAAAATAAATTATGGCTCGCCCCAAAAAACGTGGGTCGGGCTGTACGTTCACCAATCTGCCCGACCCACGTTTTTTGGGGCGAGCCATAATTTATTTTTTACTTTTTAGTCCACAAGAAAAACGTGTTTTTTTGAAAAGTTTTTTTAGGTATTTTATTTTCTCCTTTTTAGTCCTACATAATATTCATTTTATTTCAGTTGGCCACGCAAATGCACGAAAGAAAATTCTTTTCGAAGTTCTGTAGAAAATTGTATTCGAGGGGATACACTGGTGCAAGTAATTTCATTTCATTTCATGCACCAATTGAATAAATTCCACGCATTTCATTGAATAAATACGCCTGGAAACGTGCAACAAATTATTGATTATTGTATTGTCATCGGGAGCTGAGCTTCCCTAAATGTTTCAGAGCGCTAGCTAGCGGGAAAGTTGGTGAAATATCGATTGCAAGATTTGATCATCACAGACAGACGGACACGAAAGCGAGCTAAGAAAAACGTGGTAATAAGTAATAAGAAAAACGTGGTAAAAAAGAGATTAGTGCGCATCAATGCTGACCTAGAGATCGAAAATAATATAAATAATTATACCTAGAGTCCCTGTATTAGTTGCCCTTTTTGTCTCTCGTATGGTCTGTGTAAATACACGCAGATTACTTTTTTCGAAGGCACATTGTGTCTTAGCCTTGATGATTATATCCCGACGTGTGCACGTTAGTTCGAATTTTTTTCTTCAACGCCTCGGGTCTTCAAATATTTTTACTTTTAATGTTACGGGGAACAGAATACAATAACGAATTTTTTTTAATATGGCGCACCGGAATTGGAGTTCACTTTAAAATATTTAGTAAGTAAATTCAGTGACAGTTGTAAGCTCTGTTGTCCAAATATATACCAGTGAATATCGAAGTTTACGCGCTTCTAAAGTACGAATGAGGATATAATTATATTAACATAACATAACATAGTGATGTCGGCGCTGAAGCGTTGGCCTGCTGTGGCCTTTCGCCGATTCTTGATCTTTTCGTGCCTTGTTCACAGAAGATCTAATATCGTGTCTTTTGACCAGATCTTTTCATGACTGACGATAGTTTCAAGTAGCAAATAGACTTCCACAGGGTTCGATAAGGAGCTAGGCATTTCAAATCTGAACATATATTTTTCCATAGCTTAATCTAGTCTGTTCTTGAGCGCGTTCATACTTGGAGCGCCAACGATGTCATCGGGGAGGCTGTTGCACATGTCGGTGATTCGAAGCGAGAAGAAATTTTGTCGCTGAGAAGTTGCAGCGCAGGTTTTTTAGCTTATAGCCGTGGCCCCTGGTGTTGGTTCTTGTTGCAAATTCTAGTAATCCTTCGGGGACCTTGTATAGAATAGAATAGAATAGAAGTGTCGGCGTTGAAGACATAGGCCCATGGCCTGTTGCCGATTCTTGAACTTTTCGTGACTTGATTCACAAGGGATCCGGCCTTTGGAACCCGATCTTTCCATGACTGACGATTGATTGAGATAGCTGCTGGACTTATTGCCTGCTCCGTAATTTGCTAGGCATTTTAAGACTGAACATATGCTCCTGCATAGCTTCGTCTAGTCTGTTTTTGAAGATGTTCATACTCGGAGCTTCAACGATGCTATCAGGGAGGCTGTTCCACATGTCGGTGACTCGAAGCGAGAAGAAATGTTGTCGCATGGATGTGTTCCAACGCTGTTTTTTTAGTTTATAGCCGTGGCCCCTGGTGTTGGTTCTTGTTTCAAATTCTAGTAATCCTTCTGGGACCTTGTATAAGCCATGAGTATATTTGTATACTTCAATGAGGTCCCCACGCAGACGTCGATAATGGAGGCTTGGAAGCTTCATAATCTTTAATCTTTCCTCATAGGACTTGCCTTTCAAGCCCGGAACTATCCTTGTTGCGCGTCTTTGAACACTCTCTACTAAATTTTTGTCCTTTTCAAATTTCGGTGACCACACGACGTTTCCAAACTCCAGGTTCGGGCGCACGACAGCAACAAACAACTGCTTCATCGCTTCTGCATCTAGGAACTCGTATGAGCGTCTGATTAGTCCAAGAAGTTTGTTGGATGTGTTAGCTTGCGTTTCAACATGCTTAGAAAATTTCAGCTCCTTGTCGACATAAACTCCGAGATCTTTTTCCACACTATACGCTCTTTTGACAATACGCTCTGACGAGGTGTGCAATTTTAAGTCAAAACGATATCTCGTGGAACGTCCAAGTTCAATTAAAAACTTATTGCAAGGATCAGTTGCCGCATCTTTAATGAATTGCAGGTGCCAAAAAGGGTGAAGGGTGAATTGCAGGTGCCATGTAGGGGAATTGCAGGTTGCCAAAAATGCAGGCGCCAATTGACAAATCCGGGTTCAGTAACTACCGAAGTACGAAAACGATTGAGCTCCGGGGGAGCATAGAACGGTGGTCACTAAAAATTACAGGTGTCGTATACAGGCCAAAGGAACGGACCTCACGCAACATCCTAATTTTCCAACGCGACATTCACGAAGCGCGCTAAACGCAAAGTTAGTTGGGTGTGGAAAGGGGCTAAAAATGAGCGTTTTGCATGCTAATTAAAAATAAGGAGGAACAAAATGGTTTTGGTGAACAGGCCTCTAATAAGGCCTTCAACACCTCAACCCGTCAAAGTCAAAATATTTCTGACATCTCTCGTTGAAGCGTATTTTGAATAAATGGATTCGCATTTATTTGATTAAGATCGGTTATAATTTGACAAAGTTATGTGGAAAAGCTGTTATTAAAATTGGTCCCAAACTGCTCAAACATTCAGCAAGACAATCTTTGAATAACATGACATGCAGTCCTGCTACTTATCTCAAAATAGATATATGTATAAGTCTAATGTCGCTATCAATCGCTAACACATTTATATGCATTTACATTACATATCTAGGAACGTGCGCTAGCTTAGAGACAGATATACATAGTTGGATTTCCACTTCGCTGAACGGCCGTTTGAAATGCTATGACTAATGCCCTTTTCTTTTTCAAGAATCAATACCTTGAGTGGAAGATACTCGTAAATTAGGTAATTTAGATTTATAAAGGAGGACTACGCTCGTGTTCTGGTTTTTGAACGTAATTTGTCTTGATTAGAACCTGCGTGAAATCGAGTTAGTCGTTCGATGATCAGTAGATGTTGTCCGTTTCCGCATTATATTCGGTTTGTTTATGTTCGAATTATCAGTGTAGGGCGTGGGTTGGGTTAGATGGGACTTTGGGAATGATGGAACTAGCGCAACAATTTTTTTATTTCTCAAAATCTAGAAGAATTGGAAGGCTGTTATGAATGAACGCCTCTATGAATGTGAAAATATTTATTGCATATGACGAAAAAAGTAGACTAGAAACGAGGTTTTCAAACCGTAGTGAGTACTGAGTAGTCACTTCCGGTCCGCGGGTCCGGTATCGAGATAACAAATGAAAAGTCTTTTTGTCTTTGATGAAAGACTTTTGCTCTAGCCTTCAAGGCTTTATTCTTTAAGAATCTAAGAACTGTGTACTGTAGTAACTGTACTATATGATATCTCTCCGAATTAAATTATCATACTCTATATCATTATCAACTACCGGTAGTATAATACCTTAGTATTAGGCTAGTCTTAGATATCAGAAAATGTTTGTTTACACAAGTTTCATGTGAAATATTGTTGATAAATTTAAATTACTTTCTTAACACATTTAAATGTGGAATGTTCTCAAACATGGGGCTGGTTTACCTTTTTGTATTTTACTATACCCATAGTCAGGGCTGAAAAGTCCTATTTTGGGTATTATTGCAGATTAACTACATCCAAAAAAAAGAGTGTTTTTTTTTTGAATTATATGTTTTTTGGGGTGTAGATTACGAATCTGAAATCCATTTTTGGCGGTCGGCATCGGAAAACCGATTTTTTTCCGACCCAAAAATCGCGCTAAAAATGCCTAACATCTTGAATGAAACTTACCCGTTGCACTGCAACGGGTAAAGAAGACGAAAATGTTACCCGTTGCACTGCAACGGGTAACATTTTCGTCTTCTTTGTCCATAAATCTGGAGCTGTCTCTTATACACATCTAGATGTGTATAAGAGACAGGTGTAGCTGTCAGCTCACCTTCTTCAGAAGTGTGAAAGCTTTTGCCGGTGAAGGTGTGTTTTACGATCGGTCCATAAAGAAGTGTTGATCGGTTCAAAATGACATAAGAACAGGTTCTTTTGAATAACCTATGGATTGGCACCATGACCAGCATTATCTTACATAAAAAATTGGTTTAAGTCTTGAATAAATAAGGAAATTAGAAATGAACTGATTTAAAAAAATCTCTGGTTTGTCACTATGTGTTTTGTTGAAGATTGCGCATAGTTGCAGTCTTGTAAAAGCGGTCAGACTGCTTTAACGCATGCTCAACTTACAGTAAAGACAAATTTTATCTTTGCCATTTGACTGTTTTAGGGTAAAATTAGAGATTTGGGGTAACATTTGCATGGACTTTGTAAATAAATTTGCGCCTTGTAAATGGCTTTTCATGGCCAAGATATTTACGGCTCGGTGAAATGGAATCACGGCTCAAACCGCCTCAAAGAAATTAGAAATGTAATCACATCTGGCAAATCCATAAAACCACGGCTCAAAAAATTCAGTTGTGGCTCGCCAAGTAGATATATTCCATGCCTGCCCATAATGACAAACCAGAGACTTTTCAGAATCAGTTAATTTTTGATTGCCTCAGTTAGGGTAAACGTGGTATATTCCGACATCGTGGGTAATTCTGACACCTCTCTAGTTTTTCCTTTATATTAAGCTTTGTTTTAGTTCCATGCATTCGTTGATGGTTGAAATAGTGACATTTGCGTGTCAAACTACTGTTGTTGATGGTGTAAATAGTCATACATTTGCGTGTCAAACTACTGCCAAAACACTAGGTCTGGGCCATCTAGCGGGAAAATGTTGAGATCCAAAGAGAGACGGTGCATGCCACCCAATGAGATCATCGAAAATCAAAGTTGACAGTTGACCTTGCTCTACCAAATAGTGATCAACTGTTTGTGTAGAAAGAATATTGTAGTTTGAGACTTTTAAATACGTCTGTGAATATATTAGGAATCCTTTAAGTATACTTGTATTTGCTGATTTCAAGTGGTAAATAAATTAATAGATGATTAAGTTGAGAAACGCATTTAGACACATAAAAACTAATTCCGACACAACTTCAATTGGACACACAGCTCGTTCCAAGCTGTGTGCAAAAATTAAAATTTTCTCAATTAAAAGCTTAATAACTGTTGATTAAACGCCTAATTAAGTAGTGCTCAATATTCAATAGTGTTCTAATTCAAAGCCGTATCGTATTCCAGTACAGCTCACACAGCGATCGGAATATGAACACGTGGATGTCGGAATTACGTATTAGTACAATTTGAAGCGTGGTCGGAATACGTCTCACCACATGTCAAATATAGTCACACACAGTGTCAGAATATAGGGATTTGGTAGGTTTGCATTCTAAAGGCTTTTAAA